AAGGAAGCCACGAATAAAACCCAGGTATCATTCAGGACCTTTCTGCATTAATTTATGTGTTATTCAATCAGTTCAATGGGTTAGGAATTATGAATTTCATGAAAAGTCAGCTCCTTTCTTTTGAATTATTGCTTTTTGATGTAGGCACCTATAATTGTTCCGATTATTTTTTCCTGTCAATGCTTTCTAGAGGACATAGGTACTTGAATGTCACAAGAGATCAAGAGAACATCAACATCATCAACAAAACAACAAAACAGCCGGAGCCGGAACCGGAAACGGAAACGGAATTCACGGAACACGGACGGAGCACGGAGCGGCACGGATATACACGAGCCTCCCCGAGTTCATCCGGAGAGCGTACGGACATTTTAAGATAGGAGCACCTGGGAACACTGACCAGTGGGGAAAAAAATTCAGAAATTTTAGTCCTGGAAAAATTAAGTTTTTAGAGCAAACTACCCTAAGCTTAGAATATTTTTCTCGAACGCACTATAATTGCAATCGCAGAAGAGTAAAGTAATAAAAAAATTATCAAGGATGAAAAAAATCACGTATACCCTTTACGTCATCGAAATGGCCGCCGAAAAAAAATTACCGCCACCATCTTTATGACCATGCGTATCAACTCGCTGGAAGCGAATGTTTTTGGAATGGTGAGGTCTTTCTAACGTAGCATCATGCAATTTTAGATAACTTTTCTATGATTTTTACGCTTTCTCTCATACGTTCGTCCTAAGTATGGCGTCTGACGCAAAAAACAGACTTCACGGCTTCAAGAACAAAGGCAAAGATCAAGATGTAAGTAAATTTAGATTTCTACACTCGTATTTTGTCCGGTTCCTTACCCTGAGGTCCTCTCCAATCACATCATGGCGCGCCGTGTCCTAGTCCTCATGTAAACATTACTAGGCCTGTCTCTTTGCTCATGATGTCTTATTGAACATTGAAATTAGGCATTACTCTGCTCCGCTGCAATTCAACAACGTCTTTTTTGTGAAAGGCTCTGTCAGCATCGCCCCTCTTTCAGCATGTCAGAGAGGCCTGTCTGAAGTATCACACAAGGCCCTTTCATTGTTTCTCTCTCACTTCCTGTCTTCATATTACTTAATCCCTTTTCTCTTCCTCCTACCCCAAACTTTAAGCTTTCTTATTGCAGCATGTACCCTTCAACTCTAATTAGTTGTTTGTGAATTGCTCCTCAACCTTTCGGTCCAGCAATGAAGTCAGAGGTAGCTTGTCGCTACACCTAACCTGTACAGCCCCTGTTTCACCTCATTACACTATTACCTTGGGTCTTAATTTTTCTTGAATTCTCCTTCGCACCGGTGCACCGCACCTATTTAGTACTGAAAATCTCTGCGGAATGGTGTGTTGGTGAAGCTAGGTTGCTTTGGTGCCACGTGACATCCAAAACTGTTTTGCTTCGCAGCGAACATATCCTGCGATGTAAACCAGTAAAAGATTGGGCTCAATTTCCATCCTGCGCTATGTGATGCTATGCTAACCTTTGGAAAGTACGCTACAAGATATCAAATGATGCACTGAGTCTAAATTATCACTGTAACGTACATGCACCCTTAGTTGGCTCGAACCCCTCCCCTCATATTCTGTGGAGATAACTGTTTTCAGTTTTTAATTTAATCATGGCATTCTTAGCGACAACACAATTGTGGTACATTGAGTCTTTGACACTCCAACTCTCATCAGGAGGAATCGCTCACAGAGTGGATGAGTGGATCTTACGCGGTTGAGTTTTGTAACAACTAGAATGTCTATTACCTGATTTTTTACCATATTCAATGTCCTATTTTAGTAAATGTGTATTTATCTTCTCATTCTTGTAGGAAATGCGAAGAAGGAGAAATGAGGTGACGGTTGAGCTGAGAAAAAATAAGCGCGAAGAAACACTCTTGAAACGTAGAAATGTGCCCATCACAGATTTCACAGGTATGTTTTATATTTTGCCGTACATTTTTGCATGAGGGAACTACATAATTTTGTACCTCTATAATTTTTAATTGTATATCAGTACCTTGTGTAAACTAAATACCCTCTGTTAAAATTTGAATGTTTGTATAAATGACCGATTTTAAGCAACAATGCAGAAACTGTTGATTGGTGGTGGCCTACAATAAAACGTAAGACATATGAAGCCGTCGTTTGATAGGGGGGCAAGGAGTGAAATTACTCAATTACTATTCTCATAAAAACCTCAGTAACATCGAATCCTACAGGATTTTTCACAATCAGTGATATAGCATTAAAGTTATTATCGTAAACTCACCCGAAGAATAGCTAGGTTTCATATCTGGACATAGATTTTTAAACATTTGGTTCTAAATTTGATTTAAGTCCTCATTCAGCAACAGTCCTGTACGAAACCATGGAAACGCCTATTCTCATCCTAACCTAATAGTTGCTCCTGGTAGTGTAACGAAATTTACTGTTGGCGTAGTATATATTTTTCTACATCTATTTTACCCTATCTACAGTTTCCAGATTGTATATTTTAAGTCAAAATGTGGTCATTTAATGTGTCCACCACAAGTAATATAAATTTCTTGTATCAGGCACCAGCAATCCAAGATGCTGAGGACCGAAAGAATTGTTGTTTGGAATCAGATTTTTTACAACTCATGTCAAGCAATTTTGATAAATTACAAGTACTTTTCAGTAAGTAAGATGCGATATCCTTTTCATGTATGCATTTGGAAGTTGTTCTGCTGAAATTGATGACTGGCAAACAGGCAGAAGTTTCCAGTCTCATTTTCACTGCCTCTACATCAGGATGCCTAAAAAGTCTTACTTTGTTTCCTCTTTATGTTTTCTATTTTATGTTTCTTATCCACTCTTTCCAGGAGATGATGATGATGATGCTAAAAATCTCTCTAAAGTTGACTTGTCAAAGCTCATCATGGAAGCCAGCAATGATGCAGATCCGGTGACACAGTTGAATGCCGTTCAGTCGGCACGAAAACTCCTTTCGTCCGATAAGAATCCTCCAATTGACATTTTAATAGCAAGTAACATACTCCCAGTTCTTGTACATTGTCTGGAAATCAGTGACAAGTGAGTGAAAAATTTTCTATTTTCCTGCTTTTGTTCTTGTTCTTTTTTTCTCAGATTTTTTTATCCTTTAAGGTATTTATTCAGGCCCCAAGACTTGATCCACTTCATAAATTCTCTATTACCAACCTTTCAATCAATATTCGATTTTCCTTTGACACTTTAAAAGAGACATTTTGCCAGATCCTTGCCCGGAACATCAATTCCCTCTTCAATTTATTCTCAAAACCCCTTATTGTGTATACGCCCAATTTTGACATTCCAACTGACTTTAATCTCTCATTCCATTGTAAAATATTATTTTGTTTCATAAGTATGTTTTGTACAAGAAACATTGTCAACTGAGAGCCCTTTCAGAACTGAAATTGCACAAAATGTATGCTAAGGGCATCAAAAATTATTCCGTATACCTACACTTTGCACTTTTAAACACACAATTTATATGTAGTCTAATGGCCTCTTCAGGGAATGCTCATTAAAGATACAAAATTTGTCACCTGTGGCTCAGTTCTTAATGAAAAAACTTAGCAAGTGACTCAAATCAAAGTAGTCTGGATTATCATTTGAAAAATATACAATGAATTCAAGTTGTGCAGGTCATGAAAGTGGCTTTTGCCTGCCGATTTCGGTATGATTAACTTGGTTTGTTTGTTTTTTTTTTGTTTTTGTTTTTTTTTTTTTAAACTAGCCCTCAAGGGCTAATCCCATCTGCTCGTGAACCAGTTTGAGCCAATCCCTAACCTATTTTTCATATTTAACCATTCCCTTATGCTGAGACAGCTGTTGAAAAGTATATTACTTTACGTTGTAAACTTGCCTTTTTGTATTTTACAGCCCTGGCTTGCAGTTTGAAGCAGCATGGGCTCTTACTAACATTGCCAGTGGAACATCTGCTCAGACGCAAGCAGTCGTTGCAGCCGGAGCAGTCCCAGTATTCCTTCAACTTCTACACTCACAACATGACACTGTCTGTGAACAAGCTGTTTGGGCTTTAGGTAAGCTTTAATTTTGAACATGGCTGTGCATTCAACCTAGTGGTGTGGCATGCTTTGCGATAAATTGATTGATTGGGCATTTAATTCTATGGAAAAGGCTCGATAAACAGGGTGTTCGCAATGTATACCGTAATAATTTATTCTTTGATGTAGCTTCAAATGAGGATATATGGCTAATCGATCATTCACGCCTTGCTTCTGATTCAACACCAAGAATATACAGTGTCACAGTTGCCCCCACAGATATGAAAATAAAATTCAAGGTGACACAATTAAATTTAAACATTTAAGGTGTTACTTGTCCTGTCTTTCAGCACGAAAAAAAATGCCTATCTGAATATGGCTCCAAGTAAATTTTGATTATCTGCCAAGATGAAATTTTAGTTATAGAAACTAGAGAATTTTAATATTGAAAAATCTAATGTTGATAACCAACGTCTCTAAAAGTTTAATTCCCAGTTAGTGCCAGCTGGAAAGCTTTAGTGGTTTGTGGTAAAAAGTTTAATATAGTCAACTCCTGTTTAGTAAAAACCCTCATAAAAAAAGAAACCTATCAAGTGAAATTGGCGGGTCCTTTTGTTTGCCCATCTATGTGATATTAACGAACTCAAGAAAACTGAGAATCTATTAACAAATACAACAAGCTTTCTAAGCTTCCGTAGTTCTAAGTGTTAATCGTTTTTTTCAATGTATGTCCAGTTTAGCTCCATGAAAGATATGGATTCTTTAAAGTAAAGTCTGAATCATCCGGAGCACATGTCCCTAAACTTAAAAAGGTAAATTCCAACAGCTAATATTATATTTAACGTGGGATTTATTTGTTTCAGGTAACATAATAGGAGATGGACCTGTCTTGAGGGATTATGTCATTAAGTTAGGAGTCATACCACCTCTACTTTCGTTTATCAAACCAGAAATTCCCTTATCATTTATGAGAAATGTCACCTGGGTAATAGTTAACCTATGTCGCAACAAAGACCCTCCTCTACCAAAAAATACAATCATGGAAATTTTACCTGCACTCAATATGCTTATTCATCATAACGATAATAATGTAAGTCAGTATCTTTGTTTTTGTCTCATTAAAGTTCAGATGCACACTTAATAAAGTGGCGCAACAACAGCTTGTCGCTGGTGTGTAAGTGCCTTTTGCGCAAATTTTGTGGGGACTCTTCTTACTATAATTTACTCGCATGCCGTGCATGCTAATGTGTGTCTCCTAAAGTTACATTATATTGATTTTGATAGAGTTCTTATCATAGTTGTTGTCAATATCTTCAATTGTGATTGTAGTTAATTTCTGCAACCATAGTCAAATGGGCCTGTTGCAAGATGTGGGGATTTGCAAATTGATGCCTGATTCTTATGGCAAATTTCACGAAAAGAATAATTGTGCTACTAAAAAACCTTGTAATGACCTCTCAAACTCAAAAAAAGCTGTTTTTGGAACCGACCCATTCAAAACGGTCTTTTTTCAACCGCCATACTTGTGATTGGTGGAGCCTATGTATTCTATGCTCGTGACGTGAAATGATATGACAGACCTGGTTTCTTCATCACTCACAATGTATTTTCCCGTAAGGATTTGGCAGCCGCTTTTCAAATGCAAATGTCGAGTCAATCGATAATTTTTTGATCAAAATAGAAATCAGAAATGGATTCCTCGTACGTTTATATGGTTAAAACCTTCATTAGACAAATAAGAACCGACGGGTTAAACCCTATTCTTAAGGAAGACTGTAGTCAATGGAGTTTGTTTACATCTGCTTAGTGATAACAGACATGGACATTAGCTCAATATTTGGCCATTTTCATGAGTTTTTACTTTTTTGTCACTATTTGAAGGTAAGTTTATTTTGTAAATCAATTTTTTAGTGCCTTAGGATCATGTTAAAAGCTGTAAAGGTATACTTTGTTACTTATTAATTCAGAACACACTCCGGCAGCCCAACGCTCAAACCATGGATGTTCTCTCAGTGCGTGTAAATCATTCTTAACTCTTCAACAAACATCTCAATATCATTCAGAACGTTCCCACGTTTTATAAACTTATGTTATTTTAAAATCCTGTGTGTTTTAAATGTAACACTATACAGAAAAATTTATCGATAAAGTCTGGTAACTGAAGAAAGATCCTACGTCTACTTTCCTTGCCTCCAGCTAAAACATACTGGTCTCCTCATCTCATCAGTTTTGTCAAAGGTAAGTTTTTTTCATCATCAATGATTGATACTATCATTTTGGTGTCTTCAGTGAAGCATTAAAGGGTGAAATAGTAAGAAATAACAACTGAGTCAACACATCCAGGTTTGAGCGTTGGATCGCCGGAGTGTGTTCTGAATTAATAAGTAACAAAGTATACCTTTACAGCTTTTAACATGATCCTAAGGCACTAAACAATTGATTTACAAAACAAACTTACCTTCAAAGAGTGACAAAAAAGTAAAAACTCATGAAAATGGCCAAATATTGAGCTAATGTCCATGTCTGTTATCACTAAGCAGATGTAAACAATCGCCCATTGACTACAGTCTTCCTTAAAAATAGGGTTAATCCTGTCGGTTCTTATTTATCTAATGAAGGTTTTAACCATTTAAACATACGAGGAATCCATTTCTGATTTCCATTTTGATCAAAAAATTATCGATTGACTCGATATTTGCATTTGAAAAGCGGCTGCCATTTCCTTACAGGAAAATACACTGTAAGTGATGAAGAAACCAGGTCTGTCATATCATTTCACGTCACAAGTATGGCGGACCCGAAACGACCGTTTTGAAAATCCAAATTCTGAGGCATTTTTAAGTTGATTTTTTGGGGGTTTCTGGTGATCAAAAACTCCGGGAAAATTCCTGTGACATCAGGAGCCTTAGTTCTTTCGATTAAAGCAATAAAAAAATTGGTGCAACAGGCCCATTACATGTTTTGAAGATGATCAATGATTCGTTTTTTAAGTCAGATGTCCTTGTTCCTTTTTTCACCACAATTTTTTCAATTTTCTGCAGATTCTTGTTGACACCGTTTGGGCGCTTAGCTATTTGACAGATGGTCAAAACGATCAAATTCAACTAGTTATCGATTCTGGCATCGTCCCGAAACTTGTGGCTCTTCTCTCCCACAAGGAGTCAAAAGTGCAGACGGCGGCTTTACGAGCAGTTGGCAACATTGTCACTGGTTCAGACGAACAAACCCAAGTTGTTTTGAATTGTGATGCACTGGCTCATTTCCCTGCTCTGTTGACTCACCACAAGGAAAAAATTTGTAAAGTAAGTTAGCGTCTCTTATCTATACCTGATGTTTCGTTTTTTTACCAAATAGCACACGCTCAAGAAACATCACCTCTTACCAGGAATGCAGAAAGTTCTTAATTTTTCCATCTATAAAATTGGTTTTGCCATTTTAAATATCCTAAAAGTATGTATATTACAGCATTATGTTAGGGATCATACTTAGTTCAACTTCGGGATTAAAAACGATATTGCCAGTGCCAAGGCTGGAGAATGACGGCTCAAAAATGGTGAAAATATGCTAGACCGAAATGCTGAAAGTGAATTGTGCCGAGGAACCAATTGTAGAAATGATAGAAAAGAAAGAAAAAATGGAATCGGATATAAGGTTTTGAAGTGAGAGACAAGTTAAGAGCTGTAGCGACCCCCCAAATTGCCTGGCTCGGAAAATTAGATCGAGAAGAAAAAGATTTGAGGTGAATGCAAAAAATGATTTAATGATCTGAAAGAGATCCTATTTTGGAGTTTTTATTTTTACCTGACTCAGAGTGAATCGGCTACTATCTTGCAATAGGAAACCTGAAGGGTTACCAGGCGTATAGTACACTGGCTTCTGCAGTGAGCAGGAAAACCAGAAGGGTTTGAATTCTGAAAGCAATGTGCTATTGCACTTATTATTATTCCAGATACAGACGAATCGGCTTCTCCAAGTTGGAGGTGTTATACAAACTGTATGAGTCCAAAGTAGAGATGACTTGAAGGTGAATAATTTTGAATGCTTGAGAAGAATGAATTTGCTTCGTTCTGTGTAATGATGACCGCTCGTGTTCGACCTTAATGCCAATGGAACGGGAAACTGAACTTCGGTCTTGATCCTAAAAGGGCCAATTTCTTGCAGAGCTCCTTAGGATGTTTCTTCAGCTGCTTGCTTGGCTTGTTTTGACTTGATCCTTGTTGAAAGCTTGAGAGTGAGGTGCTTCTTGGTCGACTGCTGCATTCAGAGTGAATAAATTAGTGAATTGCGGGAATGTTCGTATGCAGATTTCCTTTGTGTGCGAATGCGGGAAGCAACTTGCCTGTGATTGGTCGGTTGGCGAAGCAAGTGTGATTGGGCAGGAAAGCTGCCGCTGTATTTGCATTGCGCGGGCTTTGTTGTGGCGAAGTTCAAATCTCGCGTGCCGCGGTGACTCAAGATTGGCAGCGGTGACTCGTCAATGGCTGCGGCGATTGCGTGCTGCTGAACAAAGGGTCTCATTACCGCGCGGATGAAAGTTGACATCCAGTGCAGAGTTGTTTGCCCGATCACCAAGGTTAAGCTACATTGATCATAACGCTTGAATAGGAGACCGTTTTGGGAACATTGAAATTTTACATCATTTAACACGTTTTTATTTTATGAATCAGTCTGATAAAAGTTGAGAATGTTGAGAAATTAATTTCTGGATATTATATTTATTATTTTTATTTATTATGAAACGGAAATCAGACAAAGGCCCTTAGCGGTCGCCTCTGCCAATCAGCCTGGTTTACTTCTTATGTCAAGCTTATCTTGAGAACAATATTCAATTTCTCCTTATGATGAACCTGCTCAAATATTTAACAAAAAATTAGTTTTAATTGAAATTAGAGTATCTCATGAGTCACTTCTTTTCATTTTGCATTGCAGGAAGCTGTGTGGTTCTTATCAAACATTACTGCCGGAAACCGCAAGCAAGTGCAGGCTGTCATAGATGCTGGATTATTGCCTAAAATTATTGACAATTTAGCAAAGGTAAGTATTTTAACATTTTTTCATAACAGTTCATCTTGAATTTTCCAGTTCGGGCAACGCAGTTTATCTGATTTAAGGTATATTACAAGGTGTGCAATTTATGTTGCATGGAGATTCTACAAGGAAAATAAAATATAATAAAAAAAAATACAGAAAACTTCAATTTCTCGGGGAATTACCATGAAAAAACATGCATCTCACAAGGGGAGGCTTGGTAGTGGCAGCCGTGGCTTTTAATTCAGTTTGCCACAGCCAATTAGTTAATGGAGGGATAATGTCCCGAATTTTGAAGGTCTTGAATGCATTTTTCCTTACCTGTTAGTTTCACCAGACTTTTGTATTCAAATCTTTTCCTACCTCTTTTTTTTCCAAGCCTTTGTAATCATCTCTGCAAGTTCAGGATGGGTTTTACCAAATGAAAAACATACCTCACTAACCATTCACTGTATTTGTATGTTATTCATGCTGAAAAACCTTGAGGGTATGAGATATTACCCTGTCAAAGGACCATCTTCGTAGCTTTCCCTCTTTTGTCAAATCGTGACTTATTATTTAATTTTTTTCCTCCAGGGAGAATTTCAGACTCAAAAAGAAGCTGCTTGGGCGATTAGTAATTTCACCATTAGCGGAGACAAGAATCAGATAGCTCGCCTTATCCAAGAAAACGTAGTACCCCCATTCTGTAACCTACTTGGCTGTAAGGATCCGCAAGTAACACAGGTCGTTTTGGATGGGATCCAGAATATGCTTAAAGCAACAACCTCCTTCCAGGAGCGCGAAGCGTTGGCTGACAAGATAGAGGAGTGCGGTGGCTTGGACAAAATAGAACAGCTCCAGAATGATCCAAACGAAGACATTTATAAATTAGCCTATGATATAATTGAAAAATTCTTCTCTGACGTAAGTACCTACACTCCACTCCTAGCTTTAATGTTCAAAATTGCATCATTTGACTTCTTGAATTATTACAACCTGCATTTTAGTTACCTGCAAGAAAATCTGGACTTAGAAAGTGATTGTTCTCTCCCGATTAATGATAATCTTAGAAAGAGTATCAAACTTTAGCATATTTCGCTTTTTAGTCGTGCGGCGAAGCCGTATAGACTCTAGGTTTCGCCGGAGGCTAAAAAGTGTCCACACTTTTAGGCTAAGTCCAAGAGGAGAATTTTCGAGGAACCAAGTAACATATGAGGTATTGATATCGGTGCATTTTGGCCCAATGGAG